CTTTCAGGACAGAGGTGGCTATGCCAGGTCATTTGTACATACCTGGATTTCTATTTAATAAATGTAGTCACACACTTCTGAGTGTTCTCAGAAGCAGGTACAGTTTCTGAACTTTGAATTTGTGTACACGGTAACCAATACAGATGACCATGGCAGGGAGGGATAATAGAGTGTACTCTGTTGGGTGATGGTGCCTCCCACCTGTAATCCTAGCTATTTAGGAATCTGAGACCTAGAGAATTGAGATTTGAAGCTAGCCTGGGGAGGAAAAGTCATTGAGACTATCTCTAATTAACCAGCAAAAATCCAGGCTGGAGGAATGGTTCAAGTGTCAGAGTATCATCTGAGCAAAGAAGCTGAGTGGGAAAGCAAGGCTCTGAGTTCAAGCTTCAGAACCAGCCAACAATGACATGCCCATTTTCAAAGATATTCTATGGTGTGGCTGGGAAGGTGGCTCAGTGGTAGAGTGCTTGCCTCGCATGCATGAGGCCCTGGGTTTGATTCCTCAGCACCACATAAGTAGAAAAGGCCGGAAGTGGCGCTGTGGCTCAAGTGGTAGAGCGCTAGCCTTGAGCTGAAGAGCTGAGGGACAGCGCCCATGCCCAGAGTTCAGGCCCCATGACTAACCAAAAAAAAAAAAAAAAAATTCTATGGTAAATCTTATAGCTACTCAGGAGGCAGAGATCTGAGGATCATGGTTTGCAGCCAGCCCAGGCAGGAAAGTCCATGACTCTTTTTTTTTTTTTTTTTTGGGTCTGGTCGTTGGGCCTGAACTCTGGGCCTGGGCGCTGACCCTCAGCTCTTTTAGCTCAAGGCTAGTGCTCTACCACTTGAGCCACAGAGCCACTTCCGGCTTTTTTCTTTTTTCTTATGTGGTGCTGGGGAATCGAACCCAGGGTCTCAGGCATGCAAAGCAAGCGCTCTACTGAGCTACCTTCCCAGCCCAAGTCCATGACTCAGAAGGAGCTGAAAGTGGCGTTGTGTGCTCATGTGGTAGAGCACTAGCCTTGAAGACAGATAGGCTCAGGGACAGAGCACCAGGACGGACAAAAAAGATAAAAGGAAATATGAGTGAAGGGCTAGGGTGTACTTCAGTGACAGAGTGCCTGCTTAGTATGCTTGAGGGCCAACCCCAGTACTAGGGGAAAATGAAAAAAGAAATGTCACTAAAGCAACAGTTAAGTGATTACAGTACAGATGAGTGTCTGGCCTGCAGGGGGAGCTGTTCTGCTTCCTGCCTGCCTGGTGGCCAGGGTTCCCCTGTGCCCCTGAGAAAATGGATCAGCCAGGACTGAGAACCCCTCACCCCAGGCTGCTAGGGGAGCAACCCCACATAGCGGCCCTGGAGCTGTGTGCCGTCTGCCCCAGAATATCGTGTCTCCCCACAGCACGGGGTTTAAGGTCTGTACTCCCTACTTGGAGCCTGCTAAACAAAAGCTCTGTGAGGCTGGGCCCAGCCTGTCTCTCCACCTGGCCCAGGCACGGTGCAAATTTCACCTACACCCCAGGAAGGACACCAGCAATCTCAGGACAAATCAGTGGGCCTGGGCCATCTGTGAACTCTAGTACTGCACTAATGCCTAGTGCTGTCCTAGCACTTGAAACAGGCAACTGTGACGAGTGCAAATCAACCCCTGGATGAATGTATACTTCCACAGGCTAGTGCAGTCCTGACTCGGCCGTGGTGGGGGACATGGGCCTGTCCCCCTGATAGGGCTCACGACACTCTACTCTGCTGTGCTGTCCTGGGGTTATTTACTTAGCAGGTGGTTACGGAGAGTCCCAGGGGTGCCATGGTCCAGGCCTGAGGGCACCAATGGGTAAATAAACAGGAGGAGTGACAATGGGAGATACTAAGTGGCCCGAGAGAGCTAAGGATGTGTGCAACCTATCAGGGATGGGGTGGCCAGGCAGAGGGATAGCAGCATGAGACATCTAGAGCAGGAAGACACAGAGGAATTGAAAGGGTTTGGCTTGGCTGAGTCATAAGAGCCACAGGCGGCAGAAGGGGCACGAATCCAGCCAAGGCTGCCAGACTGTGGGCAGGCTCGTGTTCTGCGGCATGGGAGACATGTTCGGTGAAGATCGGGCAGGCTATGGGTGGAAGTGTCAGCCTGGCCTCAGGAAGCCTGCTCCTGGGGAAGGGGGCTGTCCTCTCTCTGTGGGACACGTCCTCACAGTGGAGGCCTTGGAGCCGTGACTCCAGCCCGTGGGCCAGGTGAGCCCTTCCACGTGGGGGCGGCCATGCCCAGCTGCTTCTCACCTAGGATGCAGCTGAACCGTGTGTGGGCAGGACGATTCTGGGTGCCCGTCTGGTATCTTCCAGGGCTACCAGGTGTGACTCCCCTGTGTGGTGCTGCTCAGAAATCTGCGCCCAAGGCCCCTGTCCTGGCTGGCTGCAGCCACCACAGGAGCCCATCACGGACCGTCGCTGCGGCCAGGGTTGATTGGGGCCATGATGGCGGGGTGGGAATAGAACTGTCGGTAACCGTTCCTGTGCGGCCTTGTTGATGAGGGCAGGCTCGTTCTTTGAGTGTGCCAATGCTTGGTGACAGCTGCTGTCCTATGTGTGCACTTCAGTCCTTTCCAGAAGGTTCAAGGTTGGCTCTGAAGTGCTCAAAGCTCACAAGTCTTCAGAGAAAGTATCTCACACGCTGTTCACTCCAGACCCCTCTTTTTACATCAGGGATGCCCACTGTCTGTCCCCCAAGTCTGACCAGGGAGCTGTGTGGGAGCTGACCCTGCCAGGGTGCTTCAACCCCGGTCTGGACAGAGCTTCCACGTGCCATTCTGGTGGAGGATGCTGTGGAACTGGAGCTGAGGGCACATAACACATTCTAAAAGTGAGCTGAGCACGGGTGGCTCACGCTGTCCTTCTAGCTACGCTCAGAGTTGAGGATCTCACTTCAAGGTAGGCAAATCTGAGAGACTCTCATCTCCATTAACCAGCAAAAAAGCCAGAACTGGGGGCAGGGCTCTGGTGAAAGACCACTGGCCTTGAGCAAAAAGCTCAGCAGGGGTGCGAAACACCTTGTACCAAGCCCCAGTACGTACCCCAGTACGCGCGCGCACGCACACGCGCACACACACACACACTCTCTCCCTCTCTCTCTCCCCCTCTCTCTAACATGTACAGACTGAAGGGGATCTGGAAACAAAGGGTGAGTGGGTCGTGCCCTGGCGAGGGAGATGGATGTGTGGTAGCTCCCGCTACTTCTTGCCTGTCCATACTTTTGCCCTATCTCTGCAGCCTTGGCTTCTTGCGGCACTCAGTTTCCTCACACCCTGCCTTACTTACTGCCTCTTGTCTTTGAAGACATAAGTGGGCACCCTGAGCCTAGCCTGCCTCAATTCCACTTCTTCTGGGTGTTGAACAAGCTTAAGGCACTGCTCTAGCTGGCATCATCTACCCTAAGACATGAGTGAAAAGCAGGGAAGCATACTGAGCGCATCTTCCTTTTCAGTGCAGTTCTGTGACCCACAGACTGCAGGCACAGTGCTGTGCTTCATGGCACAGGGTGGGAGGTTTCCCTCCCTCAGTGGGCATCACCGCAGAGCACTAGCTTTAGTAGGAAGGAAGCAGTCAGGAGCTCTCCAACACACGAAAACTCCCAGTACTGCAGAGCACTGCCTTCACTTGGAACAATGCGACGCAGGCAAGTGTTCAACTCGCATTTCCTATGAGGACAGTGATAATGAAGCAACCATGTTCACATCTTAGCAAAGTCAAGTCGGCAATCCTCCCCTCTCCCCTCCCACCCCTGGCTCTGTGTGTCTGTCTGTCTCTGTCTCTCTTCCCACATTGCTCTCTGCTCTGGGACCACAGAGCATGCCCATCTGGAACATTCTTCACCAGAGCAAGGACTGCACAGAGCCCTGAGTAACCGTCGTCAGGGATCTCTGACTTGGCGGCTCTGCCGTGGGCTGGTCAAGGCCCACAAGGGGTCTCTGTGCTGAAAATACCCTTCTCGGGACTTCAACTATGAGTAGCCTCTGAAATAGAACAGTCTAGAAGCTGAGGAACCCTTCCAGGCCAACACATGGGATAAGTCTTCTCTACCAGACATCAGGACCATGAATGACTTGACTTTCTGAGGAGATCAGAGACATATTGGGAGGAGCGACGCTGGACAGACACACAGGTGTTCAGGAGCCAGCTGGTGGGGTCCAGCAGGGGAGTCCAGCCAGGGAAGGCCTCAGCTTTTTTTCTGCCTTCTTCCTCTTGTGGCCACGGCTCCAGTTAGGCACCTGGCATCCTGCGCAAACCCCCTGATGTTCATATTAGAAAAACTAACAAAAAAATCACTTGCCTCCCTTAAGACGGCCATGAAGGTGAAACCCTGGAAGGAACTCCTGATTGAACAGCGCCCACCCATCCCATAGTGTCCTGCCGGGTGGGCAGGTGGGGGGCGGCGGCAGCAGGGAAGGAGGTCTGGGCAGAGACACAAGGGGCAGGTTCTGCAACTACACACTTCTCTTCAGAAGCTAGCGGGGAAGCCAGACACACAAGGAAAGCTGGGCCGCGCCGATCCCCCTGGAGGGAGGAGCCACGCTGACCTGAGAGGAAATCTCCACTTCCTCTGAGCGCACGGTCACGGCGAGAACACGCACAAACAGGAATCTGGACTAAGTGCGATGCCAGTCTGCTTCTAGATAAGACTTAGAAAATATCCATGCTGGCTTTTGCTTTGAACCCGTGAAGCATTTATAAAAGTCAGACTTAACAGTTACCAGTGCTTGGGGTGGGCCAGGCTACAAAGTGCTGTTGCTGTGAGGGGCGGTGCTGAGACCCCCAAGTCCAGAGACAGCATTCCCATATCCACTCCCTGCCCTCCGGCCCCAAGTCCAAAGGCCCCAGGAGCCCCTAGAAGGCAGAGACAAAGTGGCTCAGTTCCCGTCCAAGGATAGGGCTGGGAAGAGGTGGAGCCTGCCTTCCAGGGGGCCTGGCCAGAGCTCCCCCTTAGAGTCAACCTTCTAGAACATTTCTTTTCCCTCTGCAGGTTTTGTGTTAGTCATTGGACTGGTGACCTTCTACAGAATCGGCCCCTACACCAACCTATCATGGTCTTGCTATCTGAACATTGGTGCCTGTCTGCTGGCCACCCTGGCAGCTGCCATGCTCATCTGGAACATTCTGCACCGCAGGGAGGACTGCATGGCCCCCCGGGTAATTGTCATCAGCCGCTCACTGACAGCACGGTTCCGCAGGGGGCTGGACAATGATTATGTAGAGTCTCCGTGCTGAAAGCACCCTCCTCAGGACTTCATCTTTATAGCCACTATAATGGATTAGTCTAGAAACTGAAGGACTCACCCTGACTCTGCTTGTACCCAGGCACGGGGTGAGTCTTGGTCATATATACATATGTGTGTGTATATATATATATATATATATATATATATGTATGTATGTATGTATGTATGTGTGTGTGTACAATGCTCGTGCACACTTATGTTATACATGAATATGTCAAGTGCCACCCGTTTCTGACACCATCTTCCCCAGCCAGTCCACTGCAGCGTCACATCATGCTCGGCTGAAGGGTGGGGACAGGAAGCTGGGCAGGGGCGGCAGTGGTGTGGGTGCCCTGCTCTCTGCCTTTGCTTGGGATTAATTTATTCTGGATCTGCTTAGGAGGACACCCCAGTTATATTTTACTTTCATAGAGCAGAATACCCAGGAAGCTTTCCATGAGGTCTCTACAGTATTTCTTTATTAAGTTAGACTTTATAACCAGATGGTAATGGCTTTATGCCAGAATCAAATTAATAGTGTACGTTTTGTTCCTGGTTATTTTTCTAAGTTAAAATAAACTCAAACCTCTTATCTCTACCTAAAACTTGTATTTTATCCATCCATCCCACTATGTGGGGGAACAGAATCTGATCAGTTTTTCTGTGTTTTTCGCAAGATGATACTAAGAAAGAGTTAAAAGGTCTTCACTGAAGAGCATATACCCTAATCCATGGCTCTGGGCAACCAAATCTCAAAAAATCCACATTTCTGGCTGGGTGAGATGGTGCATGTCTGTAACCCAGCTACTCAGGAGGCAAAGTCTGGGAAGAATGAGGTTTGACGTAGAACATTAGTGAGACTCCATCTACCAATAAGCTGGGGACGTGTTTGTCATCCAGTTATGTAGGAAGCATGAATAAGAGGATCAAAGTCCAAGTCAGTCTGAGGAAAAACTTAAGGTCCTATTAAAAAAATAGCTAAAGCAAAAGGATGCAGGGCACTCAGGTGATAAACTACCTGTCTAGCAAGTGCAGGGCCTGGAATTTAAACCCAAGTACAGGTAACAAAAAGAAAAATTTCGGCTGGGCACTACTGACTCTTGCCTGTAATCCGAGATACTAAGGAGGCTAAGATCTGAGGATCACTGTTCAAAGCCAGCTCAGGCAACAAAGTCCGTGAGACTCCTATCTCCAATTAACCACCAGAAAACTGGAAGTGGCGCTGAGACTCAAAGTGGAAGAGTGCAAGCCTTGAGCCAAGAGTTTAAGGACAGCACCCAGGCCCTATATTCAAGCCCTACAAACAACAACAACAACAAAAAAGAAGTTATAGAGAAAAAGTTTACATTCCTAGAGTCTCTGAACACCATGGTGTGGGATGAAAATCAACATGAGCAGAGTAGTAGGGAACAAGTAAGTGTGTTGCTTTTGAGTGTCCCTTTAGTTAAATGCTGGATTGGTTCTGATACCTCAATCCAAAATGCCTCAGGGGGCTGGGAAGGTGGCTCAGTGGTAGAGCGCTTGCCTTGCATGCATGAGGCTCTGGGTTCGATTCCTCAGCACCACATAAGCAAAAAAAGAAAAAAAGCCGGAAGTGGCGCTATGGCTCAAGTGGTAGAGCGCTAGCCTTGAGCTGAAGAGCTGAGGGACAGCGCCCAGGCCCAGAGTTCAGGCCCCATGACTGGACCCCCCCCCCCAAAAAAAAAAAAAAACCAAAATGCCTCAGGAAGGCACAAAACCTGAGAGCTAACCTGGGAAAGGGGAGGTAGGGTGGTTAACCTGCCTAACAGAACGCAAGGCTGTAACAAATCTGGTAAATTCCTTCTCTGGCCAGTGCTGTATTGTGTGACCATGGCCACCAGGGGGCAGTGTGGGAGGAGAAGCTGATACTGGTGGAGAAAGCTCAAAGCCAGATGTGGATCATCGATTATCTGGTTGCTGCTCCTCTGCAAATGTCTAGCTCTGTCACTTACAAGCCTCTGTGGAATTGAAAGCGATCCCTTTAGATTCTCTCTCTCTCTTTTTTCTTTTGCTGGCACTGGGGCTTGAACTCAGGGCCTGGGCGCTGTCCCTGAGCTTGTGTCAAGGCTTGTGCTCTACCACTTGAGCCACAGCACCATCTCTGGCTTTTTCTGAGTAGTTTATTGGAAAGATAAGAGTCTCACAGACTTTCCTTCGTGGGCTGGCTTTGAACCACGATCCTCAGATCTCATCCTCCTGAGTAGCTAGGATTACAGGTGTGAGTCACCGGCAACTGGATTCCCTTTAGATTATGAAGTTCATACTATGCCAAGGATTTGTCTTTAGTCGTAACAAATGGTGAACTGGTGGTGCTTTAAACACATCAGGTAACTGATAATGCCCAACAAGCACTCATGCTATCTATGACCCACTCACTGCCCACGGTACAGCACCCTGAAAGACCACAGAATTGGGCCTTCCTTCTACCTGACTCGAAAGCCCTTCCAATTGCAGGAGGCTCTGGCGTCACTGGCGTAGATGGATAGTGGTCCAGGGTCCCATGCTATCCTGAGTATTTTGTTGTTTTTTTTTTTTTGTCGGTCATGGGACTTGAACTCTGGGCCTGGGCGCTGTCCCTCAGCTCTTCAGCTCAAGGCGAGCGCTCTACCACTTGAGCTACAGCGATCCTCAGATCTCAGCCTCCCGAGTAGCTAGGATTACAGGCGTGAGCCACCAGTGCCCGGCTTATCCTGAGTATTTTGAAATACACCTTCCCTACTACAAAATCATCATTGCAAATGGAGTTCCCTCTGAGCAACTTAATCTTACAACATTTTCCCTCCACAGTATCAATCTTCTCTAGTTTTTCTTTTTCTTTTGGTCATGGGGCTTGAACTCTAGGCCTGGGCACAGTCCCTCAGCTTTTCAGCTCAAGGCTAGCACTCTACCACTTGAGCCATAGCAGCACTTCACCACTTCTGTTTTTTTATTGGTTTATTGAAGATTATAGAGTCTCATGGATTTTCCTGCCTGGGCTGGTTTTGAACTGTGATTCTCAGATCTCAGCCTCCTGAGTAGCTAGGATTACAGGCGTGAGCCACCAGCACCTGGCCTTCTCTAGTTTTTCTACCCTTTTGAGATTAAAATTTGATAAGTACTCTTGCCCAGAGTTACTGAATTACCTCTGCAATGGAGAGAAAGGTACTTGCTGGACAGCTCCTAAATGATGCCATCTTTTATAATTTTAATTGCATTTCACCTCTGTTTTAGTGTTTATGTACTGACACTTTTTAGCAGAATTTAACACTTACAGAACTTCCAACTAGGAAGTACCCTGAACACTTTCTAATGAACAAAACAGTTAAGATAATAGCCTAAGAACTTCTGGTACCACAGAGCAAAAGTATCAGGCTCACCTTCTCCACCAAATGCACCTGCTCTGGGAATGGTGTACGCATGCCCTGCTCTCAGAGCTCCACAGCTTTTCACTGAGTGAAAAGACCACTAAATGTACAATGACACAGTCAGTAAAGGGTTAACGACATAAACTCAAATTGAGTAGGCCTAAGAAAAATAAAGCCTGTGGGACACGTGCCTCCAGGAATGGAATCCTTACCTTTTGATGAGTTTGATAGATTTGAAAGCTTCATCCATGTCTCCAATGGTGGCGAAGAAGCTGAAATTGAGCATGGCATCTCGAGTGGGCTTGTCGCAGTCTTCCAGCCCCACAAAGTCTCGCAGAGGTTTCTTGGCCACCATCTGGGGAATCTGGTGGTGATCAGAATCCACCTTGTCTTCGGTTCCTGCCTCTCCAGGCTGGAGGAGAAAATCCCAATTTGCTTGTCAGTCATGTGCAAAGGTACGTCTAACTCTTGGTCGCTTCTACATTTATGTCATCCTGGGAAAAATCCACCTGCAGGCAGGCCCAGGCTAAATGGTCCTCTCAAGGTGCTAGAAAACCTTTAGAGTCACTGGAAATGATCCGAACTCCAGTCTCTAGTCTCAAATAACAAGTAAACAAAGGTTGTTGAGATGAACTCTTTATTGAGCCTCTAATTCACTAACAGCAGAGTCTCAGCAATTAAAAATGGCTTTTGCTAGCCAAGTATGGTAGCTCAGACCTATAATCCTAGCTACTAGGGATTAGAGACTAGGAGGATCAAGTTTTAAGGCCAATCCTGCTAAAAAGTTCGCAGGATCTCATCTCAACCAATGTGTGTTGTGCTGTGCACCTGTGGTTCAGCTATGCAAGAACATAAATAGGTGCACTTTGCCCAGGCTGGAGCCCAGCTCTGCAGGCGGAGGTGATTAGTTATGCTACACCCTGCCTGGACCAGGTCCCTCAACAGTCCGTACCTCTCACTTCTGAATTCTGTGTGTGCTGTCAGTCATGGGTGTTGTCCCTGAGCTCTTCAGCTCAAGACAAGGACTCTACTCTACCATTTGAGCCACAGCACCACTTGCAGGTTTCTGGTGGCCAATTGGAGATAAGAGTCTCACAGCCTTTCTTGCCCAAGCTGGCTTTGAACCATAGTCCTCAGATCTCAGTCTCCTGAGTAGCTAGGATGACAGGCGTGACCACTGGCGCCCGGCTTCTCTGTGTGCTTCTGAAGACTAGCCCATGCTAGCCTTTAGTGTGCAGTCCTCGGGTCTCACTTTCCCAAGGCTGGGACTATGGGTGTGCACTATCGGTGACTTCCTCTGGCTCAGTTCTGAATAACTCAGCTTCACTTCTCTTTTGAAGTTGACCTGCAGCTCCAGTGCCCAGGCCCGGGGAAGGGTGGTGGGCCTCGTCAGGCCTGGCTGTGCCTTCCCAGGCACAGAACAGAACAGAACAGGACAGGACATAAATAAAAGCCCTGAGGTAGCTCAGTTTAGGGAGGCTGAGTTTTGGGCCCACAGATTTTAAACTCTCAAATGGGAAGCTAAAGCGTTTGATCTAAATGAGTGGGAAACTGTCAGGAAACGTACAGAGAAACCAGTGAGACTTTATCCACAAAAAAAAGCCTGCTCCACTATAATGCACGGCAGCCAGACTTCCCATCATGAGCCCCACCAGCCCTGTTAGGGTCTCATTAGAAGCCACTTCACTGAGAACACCTTGCGGAAATCAACAGCTGTGAGAGGTAAGGACTAGTTATGTCAAGCCGTGACTGTGTGATCACCGTCACACCGTACAGGCTCTAGGGATAAGAGCTGCTGGATTATCGCCCATACCACCCGAAGGAGCACGCGCTGCACACCTGGGTGCAACGTAACAGGAATTTGCACGTAGGCAAATACATAGGCAGTAACTATTTATTTATTCCTGTATATATGCATGCACGTACGTGTACATGTGTATGTGTGTTGTTCATTCAAACTTGAGAACCTCCTGCTTCCAGCTCCAGGGTGCTGAGATTACAGGTGTGTTCCACTATGCCTGACCATAAAGTAGGTAGCCTTTAGAAGAACCAAATGCCTCATGGCTATTCTTCAGCATTGCTTTTACAGCTAAACAAACAATCCTCCCCACACTGCAAACACAGGTAACTAAGCACACTGTCCACAGACATCAGGGACAGGGCTGGGCAGGCCACAGGTCCACCCAGGCTGCAGGTGCACATGGGACCTGGAGTTGGCAGACTCCTGGCAAGCTTTGCTAGGTGATGTGGGGCCCTGCTCAAACAAAACAGCCCCAGGGGCTCAGCAAAGCTTTCTACTGGGTGGGCAGTGCACATACAACACAGTGGAACACGCAGGACAAGTCTGGAGGAAAGGACAAAGTCAAGGGAACACACTGTAACCTGGCTCTGTACTTACGACTGTGCTGTACAGGCCTCCTCTCTGGAACAACAACTGTGAGTGCGGGTACAGATGCGAGGTGAGAATGAGAGAGG